ATCTGACATTATGCAAGCATCGTAGTCGAGTTGCTGGAGGTTCAGGTCGGATCTGTCCTTGAAACAACTGAAGTTCAAGATGCGAACAAAGCCTCGTGCTTCCTTGTCCATCTTGTACACATCAGCACCTTGAATTGCCGTTGCATGTCTCACACGAAATTGTCGTGAGGGAACCTGAAATTTAAAGATGCCTGTCATTAGTGGAATGTAGAATAATGAAGGGATAAATAAGATTAGTTATAGAGTGATAGGTAAAAAAGAAGAAAAAAAAAAGCATATAATACAATTCATATAGATGTCACTCACTTTAAGCTGCACAGAGTTTGAGACAGCTGATGTCAGAAGGCCAGTTTCACCGGTTTTATCATTTCTTGCATTCTGAAACATTTGGAAATCAAAGTAAATTTTCTAAAGCTTACATTACCTTATAAAAGTTTTATATTCCCAAGACACTGTTGACAATTTGAGGATATAAGAGATCTAAGATGATTACCTTGGCAAACATGGTTACAGCCCATTCCATATTCAGGGCACTGGCAAGGAGGCCAGCTGTAGTCACTCCAAGCTCTCGTGCCAACACTCCATTCACCAGCTTTCCACCGTGACTGTCTGGGTCTGCACCAACTGCCAACAGTCTTTCTGCTTCTTTCTTGTTCCCTTCTAATACGGCCTTGAACAGATGGCCATCAAGCTGACAATAAAAAGAAAACTCTTAGAAAAGAAAATACTCCAAATGAAAACGCATATTGCACAATTAACTACATTCTACAACTCTACAGTTAACATTTTCATGGTAGACTATCGGGTGAAAGCTTGTATGATTGAAATGCTACTGTAGTATCTTTCAATCATAACTACTTACCAGGGTTTTTACTGTTTTGTGGCAATTATCCCGTTTGTCGGCATCGAAGTCAGAGTCACTCATTAAAAGTTTCAGCACTTGCGTGTGACCCTTTTCAGCGGCCACGTGAGCTGGAGTCTGTCCCTCCTCGTTGGTAATATTGGGACTGATCAATTTCAGCAGAAACATCACCACATCCGCTTGGTTGTGAGACGCTGCAGTGTGAAGGAGTGTACATCTGCTCTTGTTTTTCCTCACAGCTGCTCCTGTATCTTGTATTAATTCCTGCACTTTTACTACATCTCCATCTTCCACTGCTTTGAAGAGCTGACCCTATTGACCAATAATAATTTGTTGAACTTTCGAAAACATTTGGAAAAGTACTAAAGAACAATGAAAGCCAAAATATCAAATATGTGATATAGAAACAAGTAGCTATGCCTACTAATGCTTACGTTACCTTTAACTTGAAGACATGAAGTGGTGTGTGATTAGCGATGCGTTTAGCCAATCTGTTTGTTAAACTTCGAGTATAAATGCAGTGTTTGAATGGAGTCTTCGTCTTCTTCACCTTCATAACATTAACCTGGGAGAACTTGGACTTTCGTGGAGACTTTGATTTCCCAACAAGTGACTTTTGGGGCATGGGCATTTGGTTTATTTTCGAACGCAGTTTAGGATCTGCAGGACAATTTCTTTTCCCACAAATCGAACACCTGTCGCCTTCAGAAGATCTTTCTTCAGCAATAGCAACTGACACCTGCTGTCGATCTGGCACAGATGAACTCTGAGACATTTTCTCAGCTTCTGCAGTTGTTACATCTGTGGATTTCTCACTGGTAGTAGTTATTTTCGAACGCAGTTTAGGATCTGATGGACAATTTCTTTTTCCACAAATTGAACACCTGTCGCCTTCAGAACTTTTTTCTTTATCAACAGCGATTGATACCAGCTGTTGATCTGGCACAGATGACCTCTGAGACATTTTCCGAATCAGAGAACTAAATAATTCCAATGATGATATATATGCATCTGTATATTTATGTATATACGCATTTGTTTATAGATATTGATGAATAAATAAGAAAGGATATAGATTTACTTCTTAAAGTACATCGCACATAGTAATGCACACGATTTTTCTAACTATCGCACATAATTGATGGCCACAAAGATTATTCTGTTACTGAAAACAATCTCCCTTTTGCGTCATTGTGTGTTTTGGACACCTCTCTCCCTCTTCCTCTCATACACTCATTACCGTCCTTCCTTCACCTCTTATCCTTCCCCGCTTCCCATCCCCTCCACCCTGCTTCCCCTGCCCCCACCACACCCCCGTCTGTGACCTTCTCTGTCTATCAGATTCCAATCACACACATATCAACATCTACCTATCTACAAATCTTTCTCTCTGTTTCCATCTGGTGTTTTGTTGTGTGTTCTGAAGGAATTCACAGTAAATAAAGTTTTTCCTTTTTTACTTATCCTTAATTTGGATTTGAACTTTTCAGTATTGAAATCTTCGTCAAGAAATATGGAGAGACAAGAGAACTGAAGACCAGGATATGAAAAAAAGCTTAATACAAAAAAATGTATATATTTAAACTAAAAGCTTACAATGTACGGCATTTGAATAATTAAATATATTATGTCCATATTTACATAAACTAGATTATGAGTACATATAACAATATATCTATCAAGCAATCTCTATGTATAAAAAGAAAAAAAATACAAAGTAAAAAATGTGACTATGGTAGATATTAATTGGAATTGTACCAGGATGTTACTTGTCAACATTTGTCAAAATTAACAATATTAATAGTGCATTTTCTTTAAAGAATTTGGTAAATAATTATAAATCCATTACTTTGACTATGCCATTGTAGATCTCTTAAATCAATGGTGTAAAAATCAGATATAAACTTCATTCACAGAGGGTCTCAGTCAATTTGCATAGGATTAAAGAAGAATTTCTTGGTGAAGCCAAAATACCTCAACTCGGGTGAGAAAAGGAGAGCTCTTGTTGTATTCTTTCAGGAATTCTCTGTAAAATCACAAAGTTCATGCTCAGCAGCATGTTCTGCCAAAGTGCGACACAAAGGACCAGCTGAAGGAGGTTCCTTCCCATCGGGACGCAGTTCACACCAATGCTGTTCGAATATAGACAAGCCATGTCGTTCAGGGATCTGTCAACCTCATCACTTTTGGACTTTTTTGAAGTTCGTAACTTCATCATGTTGTTAACAAAAATGAAAAGTTTGGGTTTGTTTTTGAGCTGAGGACATTCGGAATCTTTGAACGCATTCAACATATAGTCGATGTCTACACATTTCATGTCAGACGTAAGAACACTCCTGCCATTTACACTATATCCACAAATGACAAATATAGCACATCCGACGTCTGTTAGCTCATCACCATCCCTAATGTTCTTCATGACCTCCTTAGTCTGCTGAGCCGTGAGTGACGAGTGTGTTTTACACATGTATCCCATCTTATCAAATACATCTGACATTATGCAAGCATCGTAGTCGAGTTGCTGAAGGTTCAGGTCGGATCTGTCCTTGAAACAACTGAAGTTAAAGATGCGAACAAAGCCTCGTGCCTCCTTGTCCATCTTGTACACATCAGCACCTCCTTGAATTGCCGTTGCATGTCTCACACGAAATTGTCGTGTGGGAACCTGAAATTTAAAAATGCCTGTCATTAGTGGAATGTAAAGTAATGAAGGAATAAATAAGATTAGTTATAGTGATAGGTAAAAAAAAAAGTATATAATACAATTCATATAGATGTCACTCACTTTAAGCTGCACAGAGTTTGAGACAGCTGATGTCAGAAGGCCAGTTTCACCGGTTTTATCATTTCTTGCATTCTGAAACATTTGAAATCAATGTTAATTTTCTAAAGCTTACATTACGCTATATAAGTTTTATATTCCCAAGACACTGTTGACAATTTGAGGATATAAGAGATCTAAGATGATTACCTTGGCAAACATGGTTACAGCCCATTCCATATTCAGGGCACTGGCAAGGAGGCCAGCTGTAGTCACTCCAAGCTCTCGTGCCAACACTCCATTCACCAGCTTTCCACCGTGACTGTCTGGGTCTGCACCAACTGCCAACAGTCTTTCTGCTTCTTTCTTGTTCCCTTCTAATACGGCCTTGAACAGATGGCCACCAAGCTGACAGTAAAAAGAAAACTCTTAGAAAAGAAATACTCCAAATGAAAACGCATATTGCAATTAACTACATTCTACAACTCTACAGTTAACATTTTCATGCTAGACTATCGGTGAAAGCTTGTGTGATTGAAATGCTACTGTAGTATCTTTATCATAATTACTTACTAGGTTTTTACTGTGTTTGTGGCAATTATCCCGCTTGTCGGCATCGAAGTCAGAGTCACTCATTAAAAGTTTCAGCACTTGCGTGTGACCCTTTTCAGCGGCCACGTGAGCTGGAGTCTGTCCCTCCTCGTTGGTAATATTGGGACTGATCAATTTCAGCAGAAACATCACCACATCCGCTTGGTTGTGAGACGCTGCAGTGTGAAGGAGTGTGCATCTGCTCTTGTTTTTCCTCACAGCTGCTCCTGTATCTTGTATTAATTCCTGCACTTTTACCACATCTCCATCTTCCACTGCTTTGAAGAGCTGACCCTATTGACCAATAATAATTTGTTGAACTTTCGAAAACATTTGGAAAGTACTAAAGCACAATGAAAGCCAAAATATCAAATATGTGATATAGAAACAATTAGGTATGCCTACTAATGCTTACGTTACCTTTAACTTGAAGACATGAAGTGGTGTGTGATTAGCGATGCGTTTAGCCAATCTGTTTGTTAAACTTCGAGTATAAATGCAGTGTTTGAATGGAGTCTTCGTCTTCTTCACCTTCATAACATTAACCTGGGAGAACTTGGACTTTCGTGGAGACTTTGTTTCCCAACAAGTGACTTTTGGGGCATGGGCATTTGGCTTATTTTCGAACGCAGTTTAGGATCTGCAGGACAATTTCTTTTCCCACAAATCGAACACCTGTCGCCTTCAGATCTTTCTTCAGCAATAGCAACTGACACCTGCTGTTGATCTGGCACAGATGAACTCTGAGACATTTTCTCAGCTTCTGCAGTTGTTACATCTGTGGATTTCTCACTGGTAGTGGTTATTTTCGAACGCAGTTTAGGATCTGAAGGACAATTTCTTTTTCCACAAATTGAACACCTGTCGCCTTCAGAACTTTTTTCTTTATCAACAGCGATTGACACCTGCTGTTGATCTGGCACAGATGATGACCTCTGAGACATTTTCCCAGATTCCACACTTGGAACATCCATGGATTCCTCACTGGTCATGTTGGCATCAGATTTCTCTACCTCTTCCTCTGCTACTTGGCCTTCTGACTTATCTTCATTAGGCGAGACCCCGCATTCTACATTTGTTTCTGTCATAGTTCCTCCTGATGGAGCCTCAGGTGGCATGTCTTGTGTAATTGGTGACATAACAGGTGAAACAGGAAACATTTCCTTTTCTTGCCCTCCTGTACCAATTTCCTCTGCTGAAACCCTAGCTCTCTTTTCGAATAAATCCTCAGATTCTCCCTCACTAGATAGGTTCCTCGACCTCTTCAGAGAGGATTCTTTAGACGGGACTTGACTTGATAGAACCTCCACTTCTTTGGCGGAAATGTCTCTATTTGTGCTGCAGAATCTTTCCATCGGTAGTTCAGGCGCCGTTTTATTTGACGTTTCCTCTGATGAAATATCTGAAGGCACATTGCTTGATATTTTCTCTATCTGGTCATTAAACATATTTCCTGATACTGAAGTCTTCATCACTATTTAATAAGAATCCGGCGTCATTTTCTTTCGATTCAGAAGAGAAATTTTGGCTAATCTTTATCTGCTGGGAAGCAAAATCAATGAATTCTCAGACATTTCCCGCAGTAGAGACTGACAGAACAATGAGTTGGTTCGAACAACTTGAGATCGAAGAGCAGTCTCTTCCTCCAGGGGAAGGTAATCCTCCGGAATGTAAGGTGGAGTTTTGTCAGCCATGTTCTCGGGGGGAACTTTGCTGAGAAGGATTGGCTGTGAGGGCGACAGCAACCGTGCTCTGGAGATCTTCAAGTTTCTCCTAAATGTTCTAGTAATTCTTAGTGTATTCTGCAAAACAGAAAACACATGTTAGTTTCATCTACACCTATTTTCTAATTACTAAACAGAGGTTAGGGCATAAATCAGTGGGACTAATTGGACTTCTGTCAAATGTTTGTTCCTGCTAATTGCGAGATGTAATTTTTATTAATGTTTTCATAAAAATTTGAATCTTACTGACACCAGTTTTAATTACACTAAGAGATATCCGGTAGAGTCTGAAATGTGATTTTCAGGAACGACCGTATAAAGTCTACGGTATATCATACAATTTTGTTTATTTCAAGGTCTCTAAAATATGTTATTCTTACCTTAATATTAATCCAGCAATTGTTATCTAAGTTCAAACACCAGTGAATTTGCACAACAAATTTCAATATCTTCTTTCCTTAAATGCACAAGTATGCTTCAAGATGGGAGAGTGACACTTTCTAATGTTGCACTGTTTTCACGTTGCTCACCGAGCGAGCACTGACTGCAAGGTCGGTGTGTCCGCTATTTATAGGGCTCCGACGCGAGACAAGTTGGAACGCGATATCCCAGCTGCGCGCGCAATACGCTCGAACTTGTGCTGATATTTGTTTTCCTTTTTGGATTTCAACCTTGCCTTAAATGGAATAAAGTATACATACATGCATATGCACAAATATAAACAGATAAACAGGTACAAGCACTGTATAGATAGAAAGATAAGATATACGGACAGGTGTATGTGTATGCATCTGTGTTGAATGTAAACATATCTTTATCCTGAATACTCGTGTGTCCGAGCGTGCGTGCGTGCGTGCGTTTGTGTTTATGTGTTTGTGTTGTACAATTTTATTACGCTTTCGTTATTTGAGTTAATATTTTAAGGTAATGAGTAAACGCAATAATCAGATATCTAGACTTTTCGGCAAGAAAGTTAATCCTGATATTTAAATGTGTATTAATTATATCATGAATATCCACAAACCTTCATTCACAATAAAATTATGAATAGGAGGATAGGTAGAAATTTGGATAACAGATAAGACAAACATCTAGATATGCGTATTCGTACTTGAGTATGTATGACTATATGCGTATCCCTATGTGTTATGTTGATGCATTTGTGACTGGTGTTGGATGTGTACATATGTATGGGTGTATGTGTGTTTCCATGTTTTTGATGTATGTGTGTATTGTGTAATTTATGCTATAATCAAAGATATTCCTATGCAGTTTCTCACATTGCTTTTCAATGTGCTAGCGACACTTGGAAACTCTCACGGGTTGAAACCTGTGATGGTACGTCACGACTACGTCACGGAGGAAGGAAATCCATTGATATATTTCTTGTTTTTGTTTATCTATTTCACACTTTTCCCATCATTTCTTTGCTCTTATCTCTTTCTCTCTCTGCCCCTCCACTCTTTTTTTTTATTCTCCGTCGTTTTCTTTCCTTAGTTCCATTTTTTTCTTATTCTTTCTTGTTTTCCATTTCTTTCTCTGTCTGTTCGCCATCCTACCATTCTTCTCTGTTTTCTTGTATATCTTTTTCTTTCCTGTACGTTATTTTTCATTTGTCCCATTCCTCTTTTATTTCTTGGCTTCCTTTCTTTCTCTCTCATTCTCTCTATGTCTTTCACTTAAATGCTATTTCCCATCTTAGCGGATTCTCTACAGAGTGCGCTCGAGAAGAAAATCGAAATGTGATTGACTTCTGAGGAAATTGAGACTATATATAAAACATATGTATAGATACATCAATATACATACAGATAAATGAGTGTTTTTAGATAGATAAATATATATATTTAATATCAGTGACATTTTAGGGACAGTTAATGACTCCCTGTCTGACATAATTATGAACAACTCAAAGTTTAGTGCTGTAATTACATCAACCATGATTAATAGTTAACATTGCGGGTAATACACAACCAATCACCAATTTACACACGGAACTCACTCCACATCAGTTGCATGTTATCACTATGAAACTAGTGTTCGGCAGGTCAGCTGATCAGCGCATACCGTCTATGTGCAAGCAGGGATCGATAACTAAAGCAAAGTCAGGTCGATGATCAGCTATTCTATTGATTCCCACTTTTATCTCAATATAAAATATGCACAGTTAAGTGTGCGAGTGTGAAATCGCACACCTGACGACTGTTCATGAAATTCATCACTTGCCATTCCCTTCCGTGACGTCATATCGACGTAGCACAACAAGTCCCAACCCGAGAGAGTTACCAAGTGTCGTCTGGGCAGCGGGATGTTTTTACTTATGTGCGTGTCTATCTGTTATGTATATATATTTATATGCATATATGTGTGTGTGTATATATATATACTATATGTATATATATATGTATATATATATATATGTATATATATATGTATATATGTATGTGTAGATAGATAGGCAGACAGACAGACAGCTACATATGTATATACATATATGTAGTATGTATGTATATATGTGTTGTATATGCATATACATAAATATATGTGTGTGATCATATATGTGTAATATGTATATATATATATATATATACATAATCATATTTATAGATAAGTATATATACACATATACATGTACATATATTCATAAATACATATACATTTGTCTTTATATATGTATATATATACACATATATGTATATATGTGTAGATATATATCTACATATATATACTATATATATATATATATATATATATATATCATATGTGTACATATATATATATATGTATATATATGTATATATGCTGTATGGTATGTATATATGTGTACATATATATACATATTTATCAACATATATGTATATATATGCATACTAATACGCATTTCGGTATGTATATCTTTATGTGTGTACTGTATGTATCATTGTATCTATGTGTATATTCAAGCACTGTATATACTAATACATACAAAAAACTCTCACTCTTTCTGTGTATATATATATATATGTATATATACATGTATATATGAATGTGTAAGTATATACATACGTACGTGCATAAGTATATATGTATAACCCTTTTTTGTAGCATCCCGAAATCCCAATCACATCGATGTAATGTTTGGTGTTCTATCATGTTCATTGATGATATATATATGTATATATACATTTATGTATATACTTATTTTTTATAGGTAATGATAAAGATTTAAAGAGCAGGATATGAAAATGCTTAATACAAATGAAATATATATTTAAACTAAAAGCATTTAATGTACAGCATTTGAATGACTAGATGTATTTTGTACATTATTTACATAAACATGATGAATAATTCATGTGTCTATATTAGTATATCTATCTAGCAATCTTCCTCTACAAAAACATAATATAAAATAATTTTTATTTGTTTCGAGAATCGATAAAAAAAATGTGAATGAATATAAACATTTTACCTGAAATATTTCGTTGATAATTATTCATCGAAATTATACCACTGTTACTTTTCTATGTTTGTCCCAATACCCAAAGTATGTCCAGTGCATTTTCTTAATAGATAATTAAAAATCCACTACCTCAGGTAATTGCTGTTGCAGATCTCTTGAATTCATGGTGTGTGAATCAGATAAAACTTCTTTCACAGAGTGTCTCATTCAATTTACATAGGATTAAAGAAGAATTTCTTGGTGAAGCCAAAGTACCTCAATTCAGGTGAGAAACTAGGAGAGCTCTTGTTGTATTCTTTCAGGAATTCTCTGTAAAAATCACAAAGTTCATGCTCAGCAGCATGCTCTGCCAAAGTGCGACACAAGGACCAGCTGAAGGAGGTTCCTTTCCCATTCGGGACGCAGTTCACACCAATGCTGTTCGAATATAGACAAGCCATCAGGGGGTCCCTCAACCTCATCTTTTGGACTTTCACTGCTTGAAGTCTCGATAACTTCATTCATGTTAAACAAGTTGAAAATGAAAAGTTTGGGTTTGTTTTTGAGCTGAGGACATTCGGAATCTTTGAACGCATTCAACATATAGTCGATGTCTACACATTTCATGTCAGACGTAAGAACACTCCTGCCATTTACACTATATCCACAAATGACAAATATAGCACATCCGACGTCTGTTAGCTCATCACCATCCCTAATGTTTTTTCATGACTCCTTAGTCTGCTGAGCCGTGAGTGAGTGTGTTTTACACATGTATCCCATCTTATCAAATACATCTGACATGCAAGCATCGTAGTCGAGTTGCTGGAGGTTCAGGTCGGATCTGTCCTTGAAACAACTGAAGTTAAAGATGCGAACAAAGCCTCGTGCCTCCTTGTCCATCTTGTACACATCAGCACCTCCTTGAATTGCCGTTGCATGTCTCACACGAAATTGTCGTGAGGGAACCTGAAATTTAAAGATGCCTGTCATTAGTGGAATGTAAAGTAATGAAGGAATAAATAAGATTAGTTATAGAGTGATAGGTAAAAAAGTATATAATACAATTCATATAGATGTCACTCACTTTAAGCTGCACAGAGTTTGAGACAGCTGATGTCAGAAGGCCAGTTTCACCGGTTTTATCATTTCTTGCATTCTGAAACATTGGAAATCAATGTTAATTTTCTAAAGCTTACATTACGCTATATAAGTTTTATATTCCCAAGACACTGTTGACAATTTGAGGATATAAGAGATCTAAGATGATTACCTTGGCAAACATGGTTACAGCCCATTCCATATTCAGGGCACTGGCCAGGAGGCCAGCTGTAGTCACTCCAAGCTCTCGTGCCAACACTCCATTCACCAGCTCCCCGTGACTGTCTGGTCTGCACCAACTGCCAACAGTCTTTCTGCTTCTTTCTTGTTCCCTTCTAATACGGCCTTGAACAGATGGCCACCAAGCTGACAATAAAAAGAAAACTCTTAGAAAAGAAAATACTCCAAATGAAAACGCATATTGCACAATGAACTACATTCTACAACTCTACAGTTAACATTTTCATGCTAGACTATCGGGTGCAAGCTTGTGTGATTGAAATGCTACTGTAGTATCTTTCAATCATAATTACTTACTAGGGTTTTTACTGTGTTGTGGCAATTATCCCGTTTGTCGGCATCGAAGTCAGAGTCACTCATTAAAAGTTTCAGCACTTGCGTGTGACCCTTTTCAGCGGCCACGTGAGCTGGAGTCTGTCCCTCCTCGTTGGTAATATTGGGACTGATCAATTTCAGCAGAAACATCACCACATCCGCTTGGTTGTGAGACGCTGCAGTGTGAAGGAGTGTGCATCTGCTCTTGTTTTTCCTCACAGCTGCTCCTGTATCTTGTATTAATTCCTGCACTTTTACCACATCTCCATCTTCCACTGCTTTGAAGAGCTGACCCTATTGACCAATAATAATTTGTTGAACTTTCGAAAACATTTGGAAATGTACTAAAGCACAATGAAAGCCAAAATATCAAATATGTGATATAGAAACAATTAGCTATGCCTACTAATGCTTACGTTACCTTTAACTTGAAGACATGAAAGTGTGTGATTAGCGATGCGTTTAGCCAATCTGTTTGTTAAACTTCGAGTATAAATGCAGTGTTTGAATGGAGTCTTCGTCTTCTTCACCTTCATAACATTAACCTGGGAGAACTTGGACTTTCGTGGAGACTTTGGTTTCCCAACAAGTGACTTTTGGGGCATGGGCATTTGGCTTATTTTCGAACGCAGTTTAGGATCTGCAGGACAATTTCTTTTCCCACAAATCGAACACCTGTCGCCTTCAGAAGTTTCTTCAGCAATAGTGACAATGATGAACTCTGAGCACGGTGGACTCTCTGGACAGCGGAATTGAACTTTCTCAAGTTGTTACATCTGTGGATTTCTCACATTAAGGGCATGGGCATTTGGCTTATTTTCGAACGCAGTTTAGGATCTGAAGGACAATTTCTTTTTCCACAAATTGAACACCTGTCGCCTTCAGAACTTTTTTCTTTATCAACAGCGATTGACACCTGCTGTTGATCTGGCACAGATGATGACCTCTGAGACATTTTCCCAGATTCCACACTTGGAACATCCATGGATTCCTCACTGGTCATGTTGGCATCAGATTTCTCTACCTCTTCCTCTGCTACTTGGCCTTCTGACTTATCTTCATTAGGCGAGACCCCGCATTCTACATTTGTTTCTGTCATAGTTCCTTCTGATGGAGCCTCAGGTGGCATGTCTTGTGTAATTGGTGACATAACCGGTGAAATAAGAAACATTTCCTCTTCTTGCCCTCCTGTACCAATTTCCTCTGCTGAAACCCTAGCTCTCTTTTCGAATGAATCCTCAGATTCTCCCTCACCAGATAGGTTCCTCGACCTCTTCAGAGAGGATTCTTTAGACGGGACTTGACTTGATAGAACCTCCACTTCTTTGGCGGAAATGTCTCTATTTGTGCTGCAGAATCTTTCCATCGGTAGTTCAGGCGCCGTTTTATTTGACGTTTCCTTGATGAAATATCTGAAGGCACATTGCTTGATATTTCTCTATCTGGTCATTAACATATTTCCTGATACTGAAGTCTTCATGCCACTGCATCGCCTTATTAATTTGAATAACGAATCCGGCGTCGAATTTTCTTTCGATTCAGAAGAGAAATAATCTCTTTTGGCTAAATCTTTATCTGATTTTGCTTTGGGAAGCAAAATCAATGAATTCTCAGACATTTCCCGCAGTAGAGACTGACAGAACAATGAGTTGGTTCGAACAACTTGAGATCGAAGAGCAGTCTCTTCCTCCAGGGGAAGGTAATCCTCCGGAATGTAAGGTGGAGTTTTGTCAGCCATGTTCTCGGGGAAAAGTTTGTTCAGAAGGATTGGCTGTGAGGGCGACAGCAACCGTGCTCTGGAGATCTTCAAGTTTCTCCTAAATGTTCTAGTAATTCTTCACAGTGTATTCTGCAAAACAGAAAACACATGTTAGTTTCATCTACACCTATTTTCTAATTACTAAACAGAGGTTAGGGCATAAATCAGTGGGACTTCTGTCAAATGTTTGTTCCTGAGATGTTATTTTATTAATGTTTATACAAAAATTAGAATCTTACTGACACCAGTTTTAATTACACTAAGAGATATCCGGTAGAGTCTGAAATGTGATTTTCAGGAACGACCGTATAAAGTCTACGGTATATCATACAATTGTGTTTATTTCAAGGTCTCTAAAATGTTATTCTTACCTTAATATTAATCCAGCAATTGTTATCTAAGTTCAAACACCAGTGAATTTGCACAACGAATTTCAATATCTTCTTTCCTTTTGCTTAATCCCCACACTTAATTTTTGCTTTACATGCTGGAAACTGTGCACTGTTTTCACGTTGCTCACCGAGCGAGCACTGACTTCATGGTCCGTGTGTCCGCTATTTATAGGGCTCCGACGCGAGACAAGTTGGAACGCGATATCCCAGCTGCGCGCGCAATACGCTCGAACTTGTGCTGATATTTGTTTTCCTTTTTGGATTTCAACCTTGCCTTAAAATGGAATAAAGTATACATACATGCATATACACAAATATAAACAGATAAACAGGTACAAGCACTGTATAGATAGAAAAATAAAAGATATACGGACAGGTGTATGTGTATGCATCTGTGTTGAATGTAAACATATCTTTATCCTGAATACTCGTGTGTCCGAGCGTGCGTGCGTGCGTGCGTGCGTTTGTGTTTATGTGTTTGTGTTGTACAATTTTATTACGCTTTCGTTGAGTTAATATTTTAAGGTAATGAATAAACGCAATAATCAGATATCTAGACTTTTCGGCAAGAAAGTTAATCCTGATATTTAAATGTGTATTAATATATCATGAATATCCACAAACCTTCATTCCCAATAAAATTATGATAAGGACAACATCTAGATATGCGTATTCGTACTTGAGTATGTATGACTATATGCGTATCCCTATGTGTTATGTTGATGCATTTGTGACTGGTGTTGGATGTGTACATATGTATGGGTGTATGTGTTTCCCTGTTTTTGATGTATGTGTATATTGTGTAATTTGTGCTATAATTACAGATATTCCTATGCAGTTTCTCACATTGCTTTTCAATGTGCTAGCGACACTTGGAAACTCTCACGGGTTGAAACCTGTGATGGTACGTCACGACTACGTCACGGAGGAAGGTTACGATGCCGTGGAAATCCATTGATATATTTCTTGTTTTTTTTTACTATTTCACATTTTCCCCTCATTTCTTTGCTCTTATCTCTTTCTCTCCCGTTCTTTTTTTTTTTTTTTAATTCTTCTCGTTTCTTTTTTATCTTTCTTATTCTTTCTTTTTTTCCATTTCTTCTCTGCCTCTCTTTTCTCTTTGCCATCCTACCATTCTTCTCTATTTTCTTGTATATCTTTTTCTTTCCTGTACGTTACTTTTTCATTTGTCCCATTCCTCTTTTATTTCTTTGCTTCCTTTCTTTCTCTCTCATTCTCTCTATGTCTTTCACTTAAATGTTATTTCCATGTTACTTAGCGGTCCAGATGCGCTCGAGAAGAAGAAAATCGAAATGTGATTGACTTCTGAGGAAATTGAGACTATATAAAACGTATGTATAGATACATCAATATACATACAGATAAATTTAGATATATATATATATATATAATAATATCAGTGACATTTTAGGGACAGTTAATGACTCCGTTTCTGATCAATTTGACATAATTATGAACAGCTAAAGAGAACTTCAAAGATCAATTTAGTGCTGTAATCACATCAACCATGATTAATAGTTAACATTGCGGGTAATACACAACCAATCACCAATTTACACTCGGAACTCACTCCACATCACCAGTTGCATGTTATCACTATGAAACTAGTGTTCGGCAGGTCAGCTGATCAGTGCATACCGTCTATGTGCAAGCAGGGATCGATAGCTAAAGCAAAGTCAGGTCGATGATCAGCTATTCTATTGATTCCCACTTTTATCTCAATATAAAATATGCACAGTTAAGTGTGCGAGTGTGAAATCGCACACTTGACGACTGTTCATGAAATTCATCACTTGCCATTCCCTTCCGTGACGTCATATCGACGTAGCACAACAAGTCCCAACCCGAGAGAGTTACCAAGTGTCGTCTGGGCACCGGGATGTTTTTACTTATGTGCGTGTTTATCTGTTATGTATATATATATATATATATGCATATATGTGTGTATATATATACATATGTATTTATATGTATGTCTGTATATATGTATATATATGTATTTATAAATATATTTATATATATATGTTTATGTATATGTATATATGTATGTATGTATATAGATAGGCAGACAGATAGACAGTACATATATATATACATATATGTATGTATGTATATGATGTGTGTGTGCATATATATATATATATATACATATATGTGTGTGTGATCATATATGTGTATGAGTATATATATATTCATATATTTATACACATGCATATTTATAAATAAGTATATATTCACATATATATGTACATATATTCATAAATACATATACATTTGTGTGTATGTTTATATATGTATATATGTGTACATATATATCATATGTGCACATGTATACATATATATACATATATATCATATGTGATATATATATATATATATATATATATATATATATATATATATATATATATCATATGTGTACATATATATATACATATTTATCAACATACATGTATATATATGCATACTAATACGCATTTAAGTATGTATATCTTTGTGTATGTACTGTATGTATCATTGTATCTATGTATATATTCACGCACTGTATATACCAATACATACATAAATCTCTCACTCTTTCTGTATATATGTATATGTGTATATATATACTGTATGTATATGTATATATATATATATATATATATATATATATATATATATATATGATGTATGCATATGTGTCTATATATACATGTATTTGTGAATATGTAAGTATATACATATACACATACATAAATATATATAACCCTTTTGTGTAGCATCCCGTAATCCCAACCACTGTAATGTTTGGTATTATGTCATGGTCATTGATGATGATATAATTTATATCTACATTTTGTATATACTTATTTTCTATAGATATTTATAGAGATTTAAAAAACAGGATATGAAAATGCTTAATACAAGAGAAATATATATTTACACTAAAAGCTTTTAATGTACAGCATTTGAATGACTAGATATATTTTGTACATTATTTACATAAATTGATGAATAAATAATGTGTCTATATTAGTATATGTGTCTAGCAATCTTCCCCTGCAAAAACATATAATATAAAATAATGTTTAAGTATTTCGAGAACCAAAAAAATGTGAAAGAATATAAAAATTTTACCTGAAATATTTCATTGATAATTATTTATCGAAATTATAACACAAAGTGACTTTTCTATGTTTGTCCCAATACCCGAAGTTTGTCCAGTGCATTTTCTTTATATAATAGATAATTAAAAATCTAATGCCTCAAGTAATTGCTGTTGAAGATCTCTTGAATTCATGGAGTGAATCAGATAAAACTCCCTTCAAAGAGGTCTCATTCAATTTACATAGGATTAAAGAAGAATTTCTTGGTGAAGCCAAAGTACCTCAATTCAGGTGAGAAACTAGGAGAGCTCTTGTTGTATTCTTTCAGGAATTCTCTGTAAAAATCACAAAGTTCATGCTCAGCAGCATTCTGCCAAAGTGCGACAAGGACCAGCTGAAGGAGGTTCCTTTCCCATTCGGGACGCAGTTCACACCAATGCTGTTCGAATATAGACAAGCCATGTCGTTCAGGGGATCTGTCAACCTCATCACTTTTGGACTTTCACTGCTTGAAGTCTCGATAACTTCATTCATGTTAAACAAGTTAAAATGAAAAGTTTGGGTTTGTTTTTGAGCTGAGGACATTCGGAATCTTTGAACGCATTCAACATATAGTCGATGTCTACACATTTCATGTCAGACGTAAGAACACTCCTGCCATTTACACTATATCCACAAATGACAAATATAGCACATCCGACGTCTGTTAGCTCATCACCATCCCTAATGTTTTTCATGACCTCCTTAGTCTGCTGAGCCGTGAGTGACGAGTGTGTTTTACACATGTATCCCATCTTATCAAATACATCTGACATTATGCAAGCATCGTAGTCGAGTTGCTGAAGGTTCAGGTCGGATCTGTCCTTGAAACAACTGAAGTTAAAGATGCGAACAAAGCCTCGTGCCTCCTTGTCCATCTTGTACACATCAGCACCTCCTTGAATTGCCGTTGCATGTCTCACACGAAATTGTCGTGAGGGAACCTGAAATTTAAAGATGCCTGTCTTTAGTGGAATGTAAAATGATGAAGGGATAAATAAGATTAGTTATAGAGTGATAGGTAGAAAAAAAGCATATAATACAATTCATATAGATGTCACTCACTTTAAGCTGCACAGAGTTTGAGACAGCTGATGTCAGAAGGCCAGTTTCACCGGTTTTATCATTTCTTGCATTCTGAAACATTTGGAAATCAATGTAAATTTTCTAAAGCTTACATTACGCTATATAAGTTTTATATTCCCAAGACACTGTTGACAATATGAGGATATAAGAGATCTAAGATGATTACCTTGGCAAACATGGTTACAGCCCATTCCATATTCAGGGCACTGGCAAGGAGGCCAGCTGTAGTCACTCCAAGCTCTCGTGCCAACACTCCATTCACCAGCTTTCCACCGTGACTGTCTGGGTCTGCACCAACTGCCAACAGTCTTTCTGCTTCTTTCTTGTTCCCTTCTAATACGGCCTTGAACAGATGGCCACCAAGCTGAGAGAGAAAAGAAAACTCTTAGAAAAGAAAATACTCCAAATGAAAACGCATATTGTACAATTAACTACATTCTACAACTCTACAGTTAACATTTTCATGCTAGACTATCGGGTGAAAGCTTGTGTGATTGAAATGCTACTATAGTATCTTTCAATCATAACTACTTACCAGGGTTTTTACTGTGTTGTGGCAATTATCCCGCTTGTCGGCATCGAAGTCAGAGTCACTCATTAAAAGTTTCAGCACTTGCGTGTGACCCTTTTCAGCGGCCACGTGAGCTGGAGTCTGTCCCTCCTCGTTGGTAATATTGGGACTGATCAATTTCAGCAGAAACATCACCACATCCGCTTGGTTGTGAGACGCTGCAGTGTGAAGGAGTGTGCATCTGCTCTTGTTTTCCTCACAGCTGCTCCTGTATCTTGTATTAATTCCTGCACTTTTACCACATCTCCATCTTCCACTGCTTTGAAGAGCTGACCCTATTGACCAATAATAATTTGTTGAACTTTCGAAAACATTTGGAAATGTACTAAAGCACAATGAAAGCCAAAATATCAAATATGTGATATAGAAACAATTAGGTATGCCTACTAATGCTTACGTTACCTTTAACTTGAAGACATGAAGTGGTGTGTGATTAGCGATGCGTTTAGCCAATCTGTTTGTTAAACTTCGAGTATAAATGCAGTGTTTGAATGGAGTCTTCGTCTTCTTCACCTTCATAACATTAACCTGGGAGAACTTGGACTTTCGTGGAGACTTTGGTTTCCCAACAAGTGACTTTGAGGGCATGGGCATTTGGCTTATTTTCGAACGCAGTTTAGGATCTGCAGGACAATTTCTTTTCCCACAAATCGAACACCTGTCGCCTTCAGAAGTTTTTTCTTCAGCAATAGTAACTGACACCTGCTGTTGATTGAACTCTGAGACATTTTCTCAGCTTCTGCAGTTGACAGAACAGTTGTTACATCTGTGGATTTCTCAGCTTCTGCAGTTGTTACATCTGTGGATTTCTCACTGGTAGTGGTTATTTTCGAACGCAGTTTAGGGTCTGAAGGACAATTTCTTTTCCACAAATTGAACCTGTCGCCTTCAGAACTTTTTTCTTTATCAACAGCGATTGACACCTGCTGTTGATCTGGCACAGATGAACTCTGAGACATTTTCCCAGATTCCACACTTGGAACATCCATGGATTCCTCACTGGTCATGTTGGCATCAGATTTCTCTTCCTCTTCCTCTGCTACTTGGCCTTCTGACTTATTTTCATTAGGCGAGACCCCGCATTCTACATTTGTTTCTGTCATAGTTCCTTCTGATGGAGCCTCAGGTGGCATGTCTTGTGTAATTGTGACATAACGTGAAATAAGAAACATTTCCTTTCCTTGCTCTCCTGTACCAATTTCCTCTGCTGAAACCCTAGCTCTCTTTTCGAATGAATCCTCAGATTCTCCCTCACCAGATAGGTTCCTCGACCTCTTCAGAGAGAATTCTTTAGACGGGACTTGACTTGATAGAACCTCCACTTCTTTAGACGGGACTT